CTTATTCTTTCATGTATCTTTTGTTGAGAAGGTGTAGTTGTTCTATTCTATCAGTGCTTTCACACACGCTTGTGCCCGAAAATTGGGGTCATTAATGTTGGTAAAACAAGTTATATTTGTTACTCCTTTAATTTTGACTTTGCCTCCAAAACTTAAACAGGCATATTGCCTCCGAGTGTACCACAAAATCTCTTTGTTGGAATTGCCGAGAGCCAGGCCACATGGCTGGAGATTGTCCAAATGAAGGAATCTGCCACACTTGTGGAAAGGCAGGACATCGTGCTAGAGACTGCGCGGCTCCTCCCCTGCCTCCTGGTGACCTGAAGCTGTGCAATAACTGCTTCAAGCAAGGCCATATTGCAGTCGACTGCACCAATGACAAGGCATGCAAAAATTGTAGGAAGACTGGTCACCTGGCACGTGATTGTCAAAATGATCCTGTGTGCAACCTATGTAATATATCTGGTCATATGGCGAGAGATTGCCCCAAAGCTGGTGCTCTTGAAGAGAGGGGTGGTGGAGCTCGTCCTTTTGGTGGGGGAGGAGGATATAGGGACATTGTATGTCGTAACTGCCAGCAAGTGGGCCACATGAGTCGAGATTGCATGCCATTGATGATCTGTCACAACTGTGGGGGAAGAGGACACCTAGCTTATGAGTGCCCCTCCGGAAGGTTTATGGACCACCCCTCCGGAAGGTTTATGGACCGCCCTCCGGGAAGGTTTATGGACCATCCCCCTGGAAGGTTTATGGACCGTTTTCCTAGGAGGTACTGACTGATAAAAGACCTGCCATATCAATAGGGTGACTATTGATGATATCTTGTTCTTCTTCCCTCTTCGAATTGGGATTGACATTTACTTTAGAATATCGGAATTTTGGAACTACTTATTTTGATTTGTGTCTTTATATCTTTTGAATGGATATGATGAAACTATTATTTAGAACATGGATTGATGTAAACTATAGCGAGGCGCATTTTTATTTGGTGATTCTGCTAGCCAATGCAAGGATGAGGGCAACGAACATATTGGTTTTTCTTGGTATCTGTGCTGTTAACTACATCATTCTTGTCGAACTCACAAACCCTTAATTGGAACTAGTTATTTTGATTTGTGTCTTTATATCTTTTGAATGGATATGATGAAACTATTATTTAGAACATGGATTGATGTAAACTATAGCGAGGCGCATTTTTATTTGGTGATTCTGCTAGCCAATGCAAGGATGAGGGCAACGAACATATTGGTTTTTCTTGGTATCTGTGCTGTTAACTGCATCATTCTTGTCGAACTCACAAACCCTTAATTGGATCAGCCCTCAAGTGAGATCTGGGGAGTATATTGTGTACGCGGATCTTACCCCTACCTTGAGAACGTAGAGGGGCTATTTTCTATAGATCCTTGCCTCAAGAAAAGACAAACTGCTGAAACAAAGCCATAACCATTAATTACAGGAGATGGATTGCTAATCATAGCCTCACGTTTGGGCACGGTGTTGCTTTGTGCAAACCAACTTAATTGTACTCTAGTATATCATGATTGTACTGTCGCTTTCAATTCTCAAATAACTCCAAGAAACCAAGAAATATTTTTCAGTTTTAATGACTTGAAAAGTCCATATGATAACATAGTGGAGATTCTTTTGCAAGGTGGAAATAATTCCATATATTTTAACCACTTGTACTACACCAAAAAGAAAAATCATGTCTACATGGCAAGTGTACATTGTTCAGAGCATGACAACCTCAAATGAGATATCTTCATTATGGTTTTCTCATTGCAGTCTTAGCACAGTTATAAATTTGGAACTGCTTGAGAACTTTGTTTGTGGCAAGGAGAGACTAGAGGAGAAAGCTGAGATAAGGTACTCTTACTTTGAGGAAAAAGAAAAAGATCAAGAAAATGGCCTCAGCATCTCTGCTAAAATCATCTCCAGTTCTTGACAAATCTGAGTTCGTTAAGGGACAAACTCTTCGCCAATCTTCCGTCTCAGTAATCCGTTGCCACCCTACAACCGCCCCTTGTCTCACTGTCCGCGCTGCTTCTTCCTATGCTGATGAGCTCGTTAAGACCGCTGTAAGTTTCATTCGTCTATTAATAATGAGTTTAACTTTTGTACAGTGATAGTGTAAAATGTATGCACATTAACATGTTATATAACCTACAATATTGTGTAGCCACCGACAGGGGAGGATTCACCTTGCGACCTACGGGTTCATGTGAATCCAGTAGCTTTTGTCCAAACAATGTATATGTGTTCGCAAACTTCACTAAATATCTATATATTTGAATGTGAACTCAGTTGCTATTGAAAATTTACTCGAGGTCATTGCAGAAACTCATAAACATTAAATCATGGATCCACCTGTAGTCACCAAAAGTAATCCAAATTTGATGACCTCAAAGATGAAGTAAATAACGTGTTATAACTAGTAAAAAAGAATATATTGATAGTATAGAAATGGGTTTCACTATCTGTATATAGGTTAAATCCATTACTCCCTCCAACCCAATATATGTGGCACCATTCGGACGAGCGTCAAAGGAGTTTTTTATTTGACAGCAATATTCTCATATGCCTTTTAAACATTTTGAATAGTTAATTACTGTGACTTATAATACTTTTTACGTAGTTTTTTATTATGTAAATTTTATTTCAAAAACTTAAAGATTCTATGTTCAATTCACTGTCAAAATTAAGAAGTTTGGCTCTCGAAATCCGAAGTCCGAACAATACCCCAAAAATTGAGACAGATGGAGTAATAATTGGCCGTCGTTAATGCTTCATCGGTAAATTTAGCAGATCGTTTTATGCACTTTTTAGTTTTTAAAAAAGTTTATAAGTCGAGCAAGAGGCAAATGAAAGACCAATGTAATAATGAAGTGTTTATGGTAACTGTGCAGAAAACAATTGCATCACCAGGGCGTGGAATATTGGCGATGGACGAGTCCAATGCCACTTGCGGAAAGCGTTTGGCTTCCATTGGATTAGAGAACACTGAGGCTAACCGCCAAGCTTATAGAACTTTGCTTATAACAGCTCCAGGTCTTGGACAGTACGTCTCTGGTGCCATTCTTTTCGAGGAGACTCTCTACCAATCCACGACTGATGGACGCAAAATGGTTGATGTCCTTGTTGAACAAAATATTGTTCCTGGTATCAAAGTTGACAAGGTATATTTGAAATGCAACACTTTTGGGAATTATATATTTAATGTAAGTCGTTGTAGAATCACTACAATGAAAAAGTAGTCGATGCAAAGGATACTTTGCACCCGATGATTTAAGATTCTGAGTCCGCCTTTGGTTGGAGGCCAGACGAATAAAATAACATGGTGTTCAACTATGTTTTGAAATTTGGTTCAAACTACATGCGTTATAAAGCAAGAGCGAAGAAGAGTTAATCGGGCTGATATAAGTTGAGCTTGAAAATGTTGTTTTTAATGATCAAAAGAAATCAAATTACGTTCCTGATCATCTTATGACTTGATTAAAACAGGGTTTAGTGCCGCTTGCTGGTTCAAATGATGAGTCATGGTGTCAAGGTCTAGACGGCCTTGCCTCTCGTACTGCTGCATACTACCAACAAGGAGCTCGCTTTGCCAAATGGTAAATTTTAGGAAATCTGAGTTACTTCAGTAAAAAGGGCAACTCGGTGCACTATAATGATATATACTTGATGTTTTTGGTATTTCAGGCGTACAGTCGTGAGCATTCCCAACGGACCATCTGCATTGGCAGTGAAGGAAGCAGCGTGGGGTTTGGCTCGCTATGCTGCTATTGCTCAGGACAGTGGTTTGGTCCCAATTGTGGAGCCGGAAATATTGTTGGATGGTGAACATGGCATTGAAAGGACTTTTGAGGTTGCACAGCAGGTTTGGGCCGAGGTCTTCTTTTACCTCGCTGAGAACAATGTCATGTTTGAAGGTATTCTCCTCAAGCCGAGTATGGTCACTCCTGGTGCTGAATGCAAAGACAGGGCAACTCCTGAGCAAGTTGCTGATTATACTCTCAAGCTTCTCCGCCGAAGAATTCCCCCTGCTGTCCCTGGAATCATGGCAAGTTTCCTTCTCAATTTTATAGTTTCACTAATTTTCAATTCTGAAGGAGAGTCGTGGCGTAACTGGTAAAGTTGCTACCATGTGACAAGGAGGTCACTAGTTCGAGCCGTGGAAACAGCCTCTTGCAGAAATGCAGGGTAAGGCTGCGTACGATAGACCTTTGTGGTCCATCCCTTCCTCGGATCCTGCACATAGCAAAAACTTAATGCAACGGGCTACTCTTTTTTTAAAACTAATTCTCAGTTCTATATATATGAGTTGCTAAAGACATAAAGCTATATAGATTTTGTAGTTGTTAATACAATAATACTTATAACAGGAAAAGAAAAGCTTGTCGATTGCCAGAAGACTTTCTGAATATACTGGGATATATGCATTGAGTTTAACTTATATACACTGACGGTAGTAGAACTTTATGCTATTAGTGTAATTTAATCTGTTATAGCAAGTTATCTGCCTTATTTTAAGGTAACTAGTTCCACTTATTGTGATCAGTTACATATAGTTATATTGTAAGTAGATGACTTAGATAGCAACAAAATATTTCGCACAGTCAGTGTATAGAAGTTAAACTCGTAAAAGTTACCAAAAAGGCAAAAAACATATAAAAATTACATTAAGAACCATTGAAACCTATGCTTTGGGATGTCTAATTAAGCTACAAC